ACACACCCTCCTTCGATTCAGTGACTGCTTGCATCAAGTAGTAATTGGATTAGTCTCAGGAAGGCCCCAACGAACTTCCATTCCCCAGCAAGGAAGACACTTGCAGTTTCCTTCGATTTAAGAACTTCAAGAGGTAAGTCCCCTTTAAACTTGAATCTATTCTATTTAAATATCATGTGCACATGCCAATAAAGAAAAATGTAGATATTTCAAATAGGGAGCTTGACCATGTTTTAGCTTTCGATTCTGATTACCCATATGCTGAAAATCTCAACTCTGACTAGTTAGGCTTTGGACTTTGAGACCCAATAATTTCGTGCTAACCCCTGGCCTGTAGTTACACTTGAATGTTGCATTTTAAGAATTTAAGACAAGTTCGTTGTACCTTTCGATTGGCTAAATGCTCAAGCCTTTCGAATCTCAACCTGAGGGTCTAGCATACTTACAGCCGAAGGAGTCAGTAAGGAGTCTATGGTAAAGAATGCACCTCACGCTGACTCCATGCCTCAAATGAAGGAAAAAACCTTGCTGACTCCATGCCTCAAACTAAGTACAGAACCTTGCTGACTTCATACTCCCATTCGAAGGACAGAACCTTGCTGACTTCCAACTCCCAGTCGAAGGACAAAACCTTGCTGACTCCAGGTCCAAATCGAAAGAGGTCAAAAAGTGCATAATCAAATGATGCTTCTGCCTGAATCGAAAGAGCTCATTTTTCTCCTTTTTATTTTATTTTGTCTTTATATTTTCTTTCTATTTCAATATGGTTGTAATAGTGTAGGATTTATTTTCTTTTGCATTTTTATTGTTTTTGTATAAATGTTAGTAATTAGGATGTATGGTAAGATAAAAAACAACAAGTAGATAACCTAAAATCCAAAAGACAAAATGCATGCAATCAAACACACTATTCACACACATGAACCCCTAGGATAATCTTACTTGTTGCCTCGGAAAAATATTCATGTCCCTCGAATATGAGTGTTTTGGAAAAGACTCTCAATAAAAGATCGTAGTCCCTCGGTGACCCTTAATGTTGCCTTCGGTAAACGATCTAGTCCCTAAACGACATTGCTAAAACGTCTCATAGGTTGCCTTCTATGACTATACAAACGTCCCACGCCCATCCCTTCACATCTAACGATGGGGCTTCTTACCAAATCAATGGTAAGATAGCAACATATAAAGGAGGAGGAAAAGAATATTAAAGACCTTTTGAGTAGGTAGGATGCTCCTAGTTGCTCGCTTGCTCACAACAAAGACATTTTATACACCCACAATTTCACTTTGAAATTTTTTCAAAAGATGAAACACTTTGTACGCTTTCTTATAGAGACGAGAACCATTACAAAGATATTTTTTAAAAAATACATTCAAAACCCACACCACAAGCACATTTTCAAACAAAAGCAAGTGATCTAGCAAGCAACTAAGAGCCCATAGATAACTACGGATGTAAAGGATGCTAATACCTTCCCTTTTCATAAACTACCCCCCAGACTCAAGAAAATAATCTCAAAGGTATTTCCTGTTCTTTTCACCCTTTCCTTATTGGATAAAATAAAAATCAGTGGCGACTCTTGCTATCCGCAACAATTGCGATCAAACGCAAAACACCAAGTCAGTTCTCCCACCGTATTACCACACCTAATGCATATAAATTTTACTATACCCAAACTACATTTCAATGGGTACAAAAAGAGAAAAATATAATAGAGATATCAACATAAACTTCAAAGCCACATCACACAATATTTCATCCAAAATGATTCAGATAATAGAAACATACTAACTACAAATGGGAGTCTTATGTTCATACTAAACAAAACAACAAGTTATATTCAAAACAACAGTTATGATGAATCATTAATGGGTAATATAGTTCTTACTAACCATAGTTATACTTAGATCGTAGAAACATACTAACTCGAAATATAGTTCTTACTAAACAAAACAATTTCAATGGGTAACACCATTTCCATTTTGTAAGAACATTTACTAAAACTAACACCAATTCAATGATGAATAACATCTCAGTGGTGAGTTATGTACCTCAAATGTGATGATGAAGCTTCAATGAGTAAGGATGGAAGAGTTGTTGTTCGAGTTGATGTTGAAAAGAGATGATGGAATATGTGTTTTTATGAAAATTGCCTAGGGTTTTTGTTAAGAGAATAATGATGAAACGAGGAGTGATGATGCAATAGAACATACACGTTTTGAAAATTCATGTAAAAGAAAAATTACGTCGGTTTTTAGACAAAACTGAGAGAGTAGATTAATTAATAATTAAAATATAATATAAAATAAAAAAAAGCATTTGAAAATATTAATTTAAAAATGTTAATTTGAAAATATTGATGCAAATGATATTACCCCTCGGTTGGGCATGTAACCGAGGGAAAATACAAATTAAAAAATCAATAAAAAAATATTTGAAAATATTAACTTCATAATCAAAATTAAATAAATAAAGGGAAAAGGGAAAGGTGTCAAGTGAGAAATATTTGTTGAAGGGAGTTACTGTGAGTATTGATACAAAGTTGAGGACTAGACACCTTTGTGAGAGACACACCACTTGTCAACCTAAAACCTTAAGGTGATAGGTGAGTGGGTTCTTCTACTTATATATTCTCAATTAACCACATTCTTATCCAATGTAGGACTATTTCCTTATTTACTCACACTTGTATTATTATTCTAACACTACCCCTGAAGTGTGAGTCCATAATATTCCCCTCAAGACACTTGTACCACCGTTGACACCTTGCAACGAAACACCTCTTCTTGGGTATTTCGATACTAAGTCGGTCCATTTCTCGAAACCAGACTCTGATACCACTTGTTATGGGAGTTCACTAGGGAGCATTAATACATAGCGTAGGACTAGGTACTTTTGTGAGAGACACACCACTTGTTCACCTAAAACCTTAAGGTGATAGGTGAGTGGGTTCTCTCACTTATATATGCTCAAGTCTTCATATTCTTATACAATGTGGGACTATTTCCCCACTTACTCACACTTGCATTATTATTCTAATAATTTCCCTCAAGTGTGAGTCTACAATACTCCATCTCATGTGGAAGCCCTCTCTTCCACATACACGTGTGCCGCCATTGACACTCTTTAACGAAATACCTTCTACCCACCACCGGCGAAAAGTGATTTGACACAAGTAAGACGGTCCCTTCACTCAAAACTAAAGGCTCATGATACCATTTATTAGGGAGAGTTATTGACAACATATCATATAGCATAATGGTTAACAAGCTAATATGGGAACACATATGCTAAAGTGTCATTTGAGCAAAATATTAAATTCAAGTTAAGAGGCGGCTAACATAGCACACGAGGTACAACTGTCCACGTAGTGAGTTTAAATTTTTACTATTAGTACAAGGTTGTGTGGAATTACTCTGATATCTAGTTCACTCTCTATTTCAAAACAATTTTTATTTTAATAAATAAATTTTATTTTAAAATAACTGTCATTTTCATTTTTTAATGTAGTAAAGATTACTATTTTTTTAATTGCGCTCTTTATTTTTTACTCTCTACACTATTTTCAATATATTAATATAGTTAATTTTATAAAATTGTAATATCTTATTACAACATCCATGTATTTCTTAATTTGTGTACAAAAATCTTAAATAATAATTATTTTAAAACGAAAGGAGTAAGTTGTCTACAATGGTTCTAATCTCAAAAAAAATATCATTTCCATAGTCCTACGAAAGGAGTAAGTTGTCTACAATGACTGGAGTAAGTTGTCTACAATGACTGTAATTTTATATTCACTCCGTTTTAAAATGACTGTCATTCTCACTTTTTAATGTAGAAATCATTATTATTTTTTCAATTTTATCTTTAGTTTTTACTTTTTACATTTTTTCCAATACACTAATAAAGTTAGTTTAGTAAAAATAAAATACTTTATAACAATATCATTGCATTTTTTAATTAGTGTGTAAAAACTTTGTACGACAGTCATTTTGAAATAAAGGGAATATTAAAAATTAAAAACACTTATATTGAGCAAGATTGTTTGATAAGACAAAAAGTTTACATTGTAGTTGATTCTTTGTATTGACAAATAATAGGTATAGTCAGTTCGACTAGAAAACACCCTAGTAAGTTATAAGTGTCATACTAACATGTGTCTTAAAGACATATATTAAAGACATTATAATTAAAAAAATTAAATAAAATAAAATTATATTTAAATTTTCAAAAAATTAAATATACATATTTCAAGAAAATATTGTTATAAATAATTTATTAACATATACTCTAAGAACATACGTTAGCATGTTCCAAATTATAATTAGCATAATTATAATAAAAATATCTCAGTGTGAGAAGTCTGCACGTAACTTCAAATTGAAGGAAGAGTTGGGATAAACATTTTGAGTCTCCTTTCTTCATCATCTATTTACCTTCAACATTTTGAATAAACAATTTTTTATTTTAAATAAACCAAAATATATTTTAAAATCTTAATACAATTCAAAGCCCAATTTCTTATGTTTTTTATACCTCCAATTGACGTGAGAGCTCTTATATCTTATTTAAATACTTAATTAATTATGTAAGAGCAAAGATCTTTGAAAAACAATATAGTTGGAAACAACAATAATATTTGAGTAACAATATTTCTCAATTAATCAAACCTCTAATGCTTGATGGAGAAATAATTGACTATTGGAAGGACAAACTTTTTAGTTTATATATAACATAAAACTATGATACTTTTTATCCATATAATTATGAAAATATAAGTGTACAATCTAAGAATATTTGTGAATGTACTGTTAACTTATAGAGAGGTGTTCATCTTATTATAGATCATACATTGAGTAAGATATAAGTGATACTTTTATTTTACATTAAGTATGAGATATGATACAAACATGCATAAGTTATGTTTTCATAGTAATTTCATATGCCTTGATAGATTTTTGCTGATAAAGCCACCTCTCAAACCTTTTTTTTATTCTTAATTTCCACCATTGTATCCTCTTTCATTGTCTATTCCACTTTGATTTATCTCACCTTTTCCCTTTTCACCCCTTTCTTGTCCACCTTTTTTACCTCTCTCACCACCATTCCCTTCTTCATCTCCCCAGAAAGATCCTCCCCAATCTCTCCAATCATCTTTTCCATTTTTAGATTCTTCTTTTACATGCAAAAAAAACAAACAAACATGTTTTATCAAATATAATAAATGAAGAAATAATTTGGATATACTATATATATAACCCTTTAATTGACTCACTTTTTCCCTTTTCACCTCTTCCATATCCACCATCTTTGTCTCCTCCACCAGTATCCACTTCTTCATCTCCCCAAAAGGAGCCTCCCCAGTCTCTCCAACTATCTATTCCATATTTTGTTTTGGTTTCTTCAATTGCACCAACTGTAAATCAATAAACATTTTTTATCAAATATAATTAAAAAAATAATAATTCACATACAATTTTTATATATACATTGGTTCCAACCTTTGAAGGTCTCAACTTCCACAGTAGAAATAAGAATTAGTGTACAAAGAAAAAACATGAAGACAAGAAACTTGATTTTCATTTTGGATCAACTACGAGTATATTGTAGTAAAATATGAGTAAGTAAGATCCTATTTATAATGATTATCATACAAGGTATATAGGAGAGTAATGAAAATATCTTGATTAAATAAAATATATTAACTAATAAGATATAATAATATATATAATTTAACCAATTGTGAGAATAATAGGTCACCTATTAAGCAATTGAAGGGTTGCATAGCAAAGGAGGTAAGAAGAATATGTGATTAAGATGTTTGATCATTTCTTTAATTTTAAATATTGTTCTAGACTATTCGAAGAACCATAATAGTTATTATAATAAAACAAATTATTTTTCATACCATATATTAACTAAAACATAGAGAGAGAAACTAAGAACATGATAACTACACATATAAATTTTATTAAATCACTTATCTTAAACGAGGTGGACACATATCACTAACATTTTTTTTAAATTACATAATTTCTACATCCTATTTTTAAAAACCTAGAACGAGTTAAGGAATTTAATTTAATTTTAGAGATTTTTACTACTTTTTCTTTAATCATGATTTCTAGAAATAATAAAAGTGTAACACAATTTCAAGGATAATATCGACCAAAGCAATATCATGGACAACATATTAGGTAAATAGTGTCATTTTGATCAAGAAATTATGACAAAAGGGGGAATACAACAAGAAACATGGCCAAGTAGTGTTGATACAACACAACTATAATGTCGGAACGAGAAAAATCCAGGATGAGATGGTGAAGCCAACAGGTAACAACTAACATATGTATTTGTCAACATGGTTGTGTTCTAAATCCAGCATGAGAATGGTGAAGCCAACAAGTAACAACTAGCATGTATTTGTCAACATGGTTGTGTTATCCATCAACTATTGAAATATTTATTTTTATTGATGCTTAATGCATCTGCTTAGGACTAATGTGAACTTATTTGGCTTTCTTATATAAATAAGACATAAATAGTCATCTCATTTTTCCATTCTCAATGTATTTGTTTAACAAACCACTCCAAACACAAGATAAAAATTATGGTATTTTAATTTAAAAAACTTTTTATAATATATTTTTTAAAAGGATTTATATTAGAAGCAGAGAATAAACAAGGAAAAGATAAATGAAAAAAATGTAACGACATAGGGTAAGAATGTTAGAATTAATTTAGATTTTATAATTAGATATTAATTTATATTTAGAAATATCTTTTAGATTATTTATATCTTTGTTAGAAGATATATATCTTAGATCTTCTTATATCTTTGTAGAAGATATATTTTAGATTTAATTTGTGTGTATAAATAGCCTAGTGGAGTAGGTTATTATAATTCATTGTAAATCCTTATTTTTGAAGCTATCAGTAAATATTCCTTTTGCCTTTTATCTTCCTTGTGCTCCAACAATTGGTATCAGAGCTCCTGGTTAGAAACTCTGGAATTTGGGAAACATTGATTTTTCATTGAGTTACTGCGTAAATTGCACAAGATAGAAGATGAACGGAAACGGCGATATTCATTCCAAGCTTCCAGTATTTGATGGTAAAAACTGGAATCGTTGGAAGATCTGATGCGCGTGTTATTCGACTCTCAAGATGTGTTAGAACTTGTTACTGATGGCTATAATCTGTTAGAAGCAGATGCAATAGAGGACCAGAAGATAGCACAAAAGGTGCTGAGAAAGAAAGATCAGAAAGCGTTGTTCTACATCCATCAATGTGTGGATGTGAATATGTTTGAGAAGATTGTTGATTCTGAAATAGCAAAGGCTACGTGGGACACACTGGTCAGATGTTACGGTGGTGACGCATCAATGAAGAAGGTGAAGCTTCAGTCTCTCAGAAAGCAATATGAGAATCTCAACATGAAGGACAACGAGAAGGTTTCTGAATACATCTCTAGAGTGATTCTGATCACTAATGAGATGAAAGCTTGTGGAGAAACTCTGTCTGAACAAGTAATTATTGAGAAGATCTTGAGATCTTTAACTTCTCAGTTTGATTACATTGTTGTAGCAATTGAACATTCCAAAGATATGAGCACCCCGAGAGTTGAAGATTTGCAAAGTAGTCTAGAGGCGCATGAGTTGCGTATGACTGCAAGAACTTCTGAGAGGAAAGTAGAGCAGCAGGCTCTAAAAGTAACTTCTGGTAAGAAGCATCAGAAGCAGACTTGGTCAGAATCCAGAAAAAGAACTAATGGTGGTCAAAAGTCAGAAGCTTCAAACTCTGATAGGCAGAAGAATGTCCAGGAGGGAAAGGAGAAGTATGACAAGAAGAATGTTCAGTGTTACTGTTGTAAGAACTTTGGTCACTATGCCAGAGATTGTTGGTCCAACAAAGAAAGGAAGTCAGAAGAAGCAAATATAGCAAGAGGAGACTCTGATGATGAACATGTGCTATTGTTGGCTTCTGAACCTGATGATCTGAATTCATCAGAATGGTGGTATATGGATACAGGGTGTTCAAACCATCTTACTAGAAACAAGAAGTGGTTGGTTGACTTTGACTCTGGGAAGAGTACAAAGATCAGATGTGCTGATGGTAAATACCTCAATGCAGAAGGTATGGGAAATGTCAGAATCATTCTAAACAATGGAAAAACAGCAGTGATCCAGAATGTTTGGTGTGTACCTGGCATGAAAAGAAATCTGATGAGTGTAGGACAACTGGTTGAGAAAGGTTTTTCAGTTACCATTAAGGACAATCTTCTGAAGCTGTATGACTGTACTCAAAAGCTGATTATAGAGTCAGAACAGGGAAGGAACAGAACATTCAAGGTGAATGTTAGAACTGCAGACTCTGAATATCTTAGTGCAACAAGTGTTGTCAAGGAGAGTGAGCTGTGGCACAAAAGATTTGGTCATCTGAATTTCATAAGTTTAGGGCATTTGAAATCAAAGAATCTGGTACATGGAATTCCTACAATCAAGAAGCTTGAAAATTCATGCAAGGTGTGCATGGAAGGGAAGCAACCAAGATTACCCTTTGCATCAGAAGTAGCTCCAAGAGCAAAACATGCCTTAGGAGTAGTACATTCTAATGTGTGCGGTCCGTTTCCAGTAGCATCGATTGGAGGGACTAAATATTTTGTGTCATTTGTTGATGAGTTCACCAGAATGACATGGGTATCTCTCATAAAGTTCAAACACGGGGTGTTTTCTGAATTCAAAAAGTTCAGACTGAAGGCTGAGAATCAGAGTGGCCAGACTCTGAAAATTCTTAGAACTGATGGTGGTGGTGAGTATAACTCCACAGAACTCAAAAGTTTATGTGAGTAGAATGGAATTGAGCATGAGGTTATTGCTCCATATACTCCTCAACATAATGGTCTTGCTGAAAGAAGAAATCGTACTTTGCTAGATATGGTGAGAAGCATGCTGAAAGAGAAGAAGTTTCCTCATACTCTGTGGGGAGAAGCTGTTGCAACTGCATGTTATGTGCTCAACATATGTCCAACAAAGAAATTAAAGGAAATAGTTCCTATTCAGAAGTGGACTGGAGATAAGCAAAGTGTTAGTCATCTGAAGGTATTTGGTTCTGTATGTTACAAACATGTCCCAGAAGCCAGAAGACAGAAGTTGGATGATAGAAGTAAAGTGATGTTGCTGGTGGGGTATCACAGTACAGGTTCGTACAAACTTTATTGTCCAGAAACTAACAAAGTTAAGTTCAGCAGAGACGTCATTATAGAGGAATCATAAGTTTGGAATTGGGAAAAGTCTCGTCCTGACTCTAATGACATAACTTCTGAAGAAAGGTCAGAAATACATGTTTCTGAAGCTCGTAAAGACTCTGACTCTGAAGAAGATACAGAAGGAGAAGATGATTCTGACTTTGACTCTGATGGTGATCCAGACTCTGAAGACAGTCAAGGTTCTGGAGAAAGTCCAATTTCTGAAGCAAGTGCTTCTGAAGGGGAAAGTTCTGGAGGAAGTCCAATTGTTGAAGCAAGTGCTTCTGAAAGGGAAAGTTCTGGTGTCCAAAGTTCTGAAGGTCCAGTTCAGAGGCAACAAAGAGTCAGAAGCATCCCAAGAAGATTTATAGAGTTTGACATGTTGCTAGACACTGAAGTAAACTCTGAAGGAGAAGTTATTCAGTGTGCAATGTTAGTAGACTCTGAACCCGTGAGTACGAAAGCGGCTCTTAAGCACCAAGTTTGGTTACAGGCCATGAAAGAAGAACTTGATGCTATAGAGAGAAACAAGACTTGGAAGCTGACAGAACTTCCAAAAGGCAAGAAAGCCATCAGCGTCAGATAGGTTTTCAAGCAGAAGCTAAAGCCAGATGGATCAATTAGCAAACACAAAGCGAGATTAGTAGCAAGATGCTTCCTACAGAAGCCTAGGCTAGATTACTTTGAAGTGTGTGCACCTGTAGCGAGACATGAAACAATCAGACTAGTGATAACTGCTAACAGGAATTGGCCTCTGATGCATTTAGATGTAAAATCTGCATTTCTGAATGGTCCATTACAAGAAGAGGTGTACGTTTCACACCCTCATGGATTTGAGAAAAAGAATCAGGAAGGGATGGTGTTCAAATTAAACAAAGCATTATATGGATTGAAGCAAGCGCCTAGAGCTTGAAACTTGAAGATTGATTCGTTTTTCAAGGAACAAGGGTTTCAGAAGTGTGAGATGGAGTATGGTGTTTATGTTCAACATGCTTCAGAAGGTAATATGATTCTGGTCTGTTTGTATGTTGATGACATATTACTCACAGGAAGTTATGAACAAGAGATAGCCGAGTTCAAGAAAGTTCTGATGAATGCGTTTGAGATGACAAATCTTGGAAAAATGAGTTTCTTTCTAGAGATGGAATTTATATACTCTGAAAAAGGAATCATTTTATATCATATGAAGTATGAACTAGAGCTTCTGAAGAGATTTGAGCTAGAAAATTGCAAGGTTGCTATCACACCTGCTGATACGAATCAGAAGTTGGATTATGATTCTGATTCAGAGGATGTGGATGCTACAACCTTCAAACAAATGGTTGGTTCTCTAAGT